CCTTAAGCGCTGCCATACTGGGGACATCGACGCGAACAACATGATAAATCGATGTCCTCCTTGCGGCGTTGGTAGAATTGGCATGGTAATCCATACCATTTGCTCGGGTAGCATGCCCAGCGATTCCATCGCTCTGGACAAAAAAAACGCAAGAGTTCTCAGCGCATCATCGCTGAGATGGATGAGACGACGAGGGTGAAGCCCATCAAGTCCAGCAGATGTAGCGCATGGGAAGGCACGCGCAACTCTTCGGATAGCTTCAGGCTCAGCACGTGGGAATGAACATATGTCTGGTATCCGGGCTCTCGGCGCTGTTGCAGTACTCTACCAAATCTGCATGCACTCACCTTCCATCGCATGAACAATATCATGAGGGTGTGCCGAAAACTTCAAAGCGCTGGTTCGGACCGTTGTTGGAGACTGAACTTGTCGAACTTGCGTGATCCGATGCAGTCCTCTAGCTCCCCCAGCACTTTCTTGCTGACACCAGTCTTTCCATCTTGTCTTGCTATCTCTATCAGCTTCTTGAAACGCTTGTTATACGTCCTATTGCCATTCATCTTGCAATTCTCGAATTTCATATGGGTGAAAGTCATTGGCTACAACTCTCCTGGCTTGCTCAACACTGCCATCGAGTCTTCGGTTTACCCCTTGCCCAGGATAGGCTGAGGTCTGCAGTGGCAGGATTTCATCTAGCTATTTTGCCATCTCCTCCTGCTGCTGGCATTCCAGAAGCTGAGCTACGGTAGTCATCATATCGCTGAGCCACTTCCTTCCATCCATCGGCTCGAGCTTGATGTCTACCCATCTTGGCTGCAAGACTCTCGAGAATGCTCCACATTCCCAAATTTCAGAACCAAATGGGCAAGTCCCCCGGCATCATGTTCCGCGAACTGGCCCCAAGCCAGCGTTAAGAAACCCCGCGCTGCATCGGGCCGAGCATGTTTGGCCATGTCTAGTGCCTGATCTGCATACCTGGCTGGCAACCTTCAAGACTCTTCAGGAACACGTGGACCTGCAGGCACCACCGGTGTCATCTTGGGGGCCGAGCCGTAAGTCAGGACCTGAAGCGACTTACCAACTGCCACCAAATGAAACTGAACTGGGCGGCGCGGCCTGGCGTGCTACGACGAATCTACCTTGACAGCACGGAAGAAGAGCACGGCCGCCTCGCTAAGTGCGAAGTAGTCGATCGTAGTGATCGCTGTCGGCGTTCGGCACGTAACTGCACTAGGCTTGATAATATCAACATGTTCGTGTAGCGGAACTGTCGACTCTTCCACTGCGTCAGCACCCATGTTCCAGTCACCGCCGATAATTGCTGGATGAGTGAGTCCAGCAAGCTCCTCTCCGACCTTAGCCAAGATCGTGTACTTTCGCACTGTCATTCCTTCGCTTCTGCGAAGGAAAATGATAAAATGCAAATCGGTGGCCATCTGGGTACGTCAACTTGAACGTGCTGCGCTCTGTGCTCAGCGACCAATGACGTCGAGCACGTGGGTGGCCATCTTAAGCCGATGTCATTCCGAGCGAAGACTGCTACGCCAGCTGACGGAAGATAACCTGCTGTGGGAGCACCTGGGATAGCGATGACGGCCCATCCCAACTTGTCGGCAAAACCGCGCAGCTCCGCCACGCCCTTATCGAAATAGCAAATCTTTTGTGCCAGCACCACATTCGCGGCGCTGGCCTTGATACTCCGCTCGAGCGCGCTGCGGCCCTGGTCCGCGTTGAAGGTCTCGATCAAGTGAATCTGCAGAGCTGCCTCAGGCGTCGCCAGAGCCTGGCTATGTCCTCCACACACTCTGAGGCTGCTGACCTTCGGCATCCAGCACGCACAGACTGACCCATTAGATGCCATGGGGCGGTCGCTCGGCTGAGCTTGCCCCCGCTCGTGGCGGTCGGCCCCCGCCCGCGCCGCCCCGCCAGCAGCGGCGCGCTTCCCGCGCCTCGCGCCAGCAGCAGCTCCTGGCCCCTGAGGAGACCTCCAGGAGCTCGCGGCACTCAGCGGGCCCACGGGCAAACCGACCTCCACCTCCGTCAGCGCGCACCCAGCCGAAGCCTCAGACCCCGTCTCCAGCATAATGTTAAGCGACTGAGCCCTGCAACAACGTGGAGTGACAGGGACTTGAGTTCTCAGCAAAACGTTGCGCGACTGAGCCCTGCCACAACGTGGAGCGTCAGGGAGTTGCATTCTCAGCTAAACGTTCGGCGACCGAGCCCTGCCACAACGTGGAGCGGCAGGGGCTTGCATTCGAACACCACCGAGGGAAGAGGACACAGGCTTCTTCCCTCGGTTATCAGGGAAGTCGTTGGCGAAGCTGTCGTCTGCCTCCACCGCTGTGTCGTCGGCAGACCCACCGTGATCGTGAGAGAAAATGCAGCTACTGAGATCGCAAACAACCTGAGATGCTGTGCTCACAGGACTTGAAGTAATACCACCATTGGAAAGATCTGAGACGCCGAACTCATCGAAGTGGCACCCGACGATCTCGATATTGTGCCAACACCTCCTTCGTCGGTCCACTGACCTTGGAGGGTGGCATGCTGTGTGTTAGGACTGTTGTGTGCGCTCACCAGGAGAAGTGTCACTAGGACCTTGCGTACGACTCTT